CTTATGTCGTTCACGTCACTTCATCTCATCGCGTAGGTATTTTATTGTCTCACATCATCACGAGAAGGGTGAATACACTACAATAAGATATTTTGAGAGAGACCACATTCACATAAATTTTATTATAGTATACGAGGGTACTTCAAAAAATTCAAGGAAAAATAGAATTAAAAGATAATACAAAAGTTCTTTCCATGAACTTTTTGAAGTACCCTCGAAATGTTATAATTGTTTTATTTTGTTATTAGTGTTGTTAATCTTACTGTACCTGACTTACAAATTAAACTTTATCACAGGTATCCATGTATAGGAAAAAAAACATAGCATATATAGGATTTAGATTATCTGCAGTTTCAGGCATCCACTGGGGGTCTTGCAATATATTCCCCGAGGTCAATGGTTTGGATCCCCTACCAGCCAGCCACCAAAAAAAAAAAAAAAAAAAAAAATCAGAATGAAGTGCCCACCTAAGTCTTCACAGCAGCCTTATTCATAATAACAGCAAACTAGAAACAACTCAAATGTCCATCAACAGGTGAATGGATAAACAAATTGTGATATATTCATAAATGTAATAATACTGAGCAATAAGAAGGTACAAACAATTGATTCATGCAAAACATGAATTAATCTTCAAAATGCTATATTGAATGAGACAAGCCATTCATAAAGGTGTACATACTGTAGAGTTCTATATATATGAGGTTGTAGAACAGGTAAAGCTAACATATGAGGGTAGAAATCAGGAAGTGGTTATCTCTGATGGGGCAGTTGACTACAGTGGGGCATGAGGGAATTTTCTGGGGTGTGGTAATGTTCTACATCATGTTTTGGGTGATGATTACATGGGTATATACAAAATTTATTGAACCAAACAAGATTTGTAAATTTTATTGTACATTAAAAAAGTTAAAAAAAAATTTTTAAAAACTGAAATAAGAGATAGAGTAGGAATACACAGATTAAAAGAAATTTGACCAATTTCAAGGTACAGAGCTTATTTGGATCCTGACTCAAATGAGCAAACTAAAAAAATATAAGACGACTGGAAATTTGAACACATTGTTTATTTGATGATATAAAGAACTTACGGGCTTCTGGTCAAGATGGCGGAATAGACAGTCTCCAGTGTCACTCTCTTCCACAAATCAACCAATTTACAACTATAAAAAAGTAATAACGGTCAACCTGGGGCTGCTAGAGCTCAGGGGAAGAGAAGGAGAGACGTCCAGAGTTCATGAAGGCGGGAGAAGCCACGATGAGAGAAAGAAAGAACTGCTTTGACCATTTTGTGCTGCAGCCGCTTTAAGGCTGGAGCTGGTGTGCGCACAAAGCAGGATCTGGCAAAAGCCACAGCTGTGCCCTTTGGATGAAGTCTCTTGGAGACAGCAGGGGAGAAGAGGGCCTTGGTGGCCCCCAGGCCAGCAAGACCACTAATAGGGTTCCTGTGGACTCACATAGGAGCGAAGAGCCACAACAACTGAAAAAGAGAAGCCACTCAGAGGCCGGTGAGTCATCGCAAGGGACAGGCGCAGGGCCAGTCCCATGGGAAGAGTTTGCAGCATGGGTGGTGGGGGAGATGGGCCCACTGGAGGAACACTGGGGCACGGCAAGGACAGCTGACTGGCACCCATATCAGCGAAGAAACACTCAGAGGAAACTGGTCAGGAATATAGAATTGCATGGGGTGCAGTTTGATGAAAAGACTCAGGCCCAGATCAGAGTTTCTACACAACCCAGGTGCACCGGGTCTCTGGAGAGCCAGAAGTACCTCTAAGGTCAACTATTAAAACCTGAACTGCACAAAAAGCCTTCCCTAGGGAATCAGCAACAAAGCAGCAATTTAGCTCAACCACACAGCTCAAGTACTGGTCCCCACAAGACATTCCCCCATTTTAGTAGTAAACAAAGGACAAAAAATTAGTACTGGCCCAGGTACGCTGCCCATGCTTCGGCCTGCCCAGGGACCTGAGGCTTTGAGCCAGAGACTGGACACCCCCCCAACCAGGCACACCACCAGTGCCTCAGGAGCATGCCAAAAACATCGTCTCCATGTGGGTGGCCCATCACAACCAACACAATAACCACAGCTGCCACAAAAGCGGCTGGATGCCACAACCATCACACAGATGGTCTGCCAGCTACAGGAGTGCCTTGACACAAGGAGAGTCACCAGCAGAGATAAAGAAGAGGATGTCGCTCTCCACAAAGCCCAATCCAGAGTGACAGAAGAAGCATCTGCTCTATGATAATATTGGGGGACCTGAAACACAGCTCTCAGCATTGGACAGATCATCTAGGCAACAAATCAACAGAGTAACCATTATTATTTCAGAGGGAGAGAAGAAATCTAGGGTTATAAGTGGTGGGAGGGAGGATGGAGGGGGGATAGGGAGAGATCGGACAAGGGGCATAAAGAATAAGTATGATTTGTAACAATATATATGCTAGTAATATTGATTTTTTTTTTTTAAGATGACCGGTAAGGGGATCTTAACCCTTGACATGGTGTTGTCAGCACCACACTCACCCAGTGAGCTAACCGGCCATCCCTATATGGGATCCGAACCCGTGGCCTTTGTGTTATCAGCACCGCACTCTCCAGAGTGAGCCACAGCCCGGCCTGCTAGTAATATTGATTTGATCAAAATATTTCAATGTTGAACTCCAAAAATATGTATAATCATATTGAATTATGATTTAATAAAAATTTTAAAAAAAGAACTTATGGCTACATTTTTTTCAATATGATTCTGTTTAAAAATAAAGCTTGGGAAATGACAAGATTATAGAAATGGAGAACAGATTAGTGGTTACCTGGGGTTAAGGAGGAGGTGGGGTGGGAGGGAAGTGGGGTGGCTATAAAAAGGCAACATGAAGGATCCTGTGAAGATGGAAACGTTCTGCGTATTGACTGCATTGTCAATATCCTGGCTGTGATATTGTACACAATTGTGTATAGTTTTGCAAGATGTTACCACTGGGGGAACGAGGTAAAGGGTCCATGGGATCTCTGTGTATTACTTACAACTGCATGTGAATTTATAATTATCTCAAAATATGCAGCTTAATTAAAAAATAAAATATTGTTTCCTGTGTGTCTATACCAAAAAAAAGAAAATAAGTTTTTTTTTTTTTTTGTCTTTTTCTGTGTCCAGCAACGGATCGCAACCCTCAGTGTTGCCCCCGTACTGGACCGGGGACCGGCAATGGGATTGCAACCCTCAGTGTTGCTCCCGCGCCTCGCTCAGCCAGTGAGCGGGAACCGGTCTGTATGTGGGATCCGAACCCTCGGGCGGGAGCGCCGCCGCGCTTCCCAAGCGGCGCACTATCCAGTGCGCCACCAGGCCGGCCCAGAAAATAAGTTTTTAAAAAGCTTGGTTATCCAGTCAAAATAAACAAAATAAATAAGTAAAATATTAAATAAAAATGGTCAGTACACGTAGTAATGATCATAATACAAAATAAAAACAATTGACATAATTTTCTGCTTATCAGATTGGCAAAAATTAAAAAGTTGACAAAACCCATTGCCAATAAAGGGGTGGGGAAATGGGCAACATCATACACTGTAAATTCATATAAGCTTTGTAGAGGGAAGTTTGACAGTGTGTACATTTGAAATAAGCTTACCCAATGTTCCCGACATTCTGCTTCTAGAAAGTTCCCTTTGGAAAAGTGCACAAAGATGTATATATACATGAGGATGTTCATCATAGGACTGTTTATAAGAAAAAAAATTGGAAATGATTAAAATACATGTAATTAAATAAATTATAGTATGTAAATGTGACATATGATCATGCAGTCATTAAAAATGGTGAAATAGGGCTGGCCATTTAGCTCAGTTGGTAAGAGCACGGTGTTGGTAACACCAAGTCCAAGGGTTAGGATCCCCTTACTGGCCAGCCACACACACACACACACACACACACACACACAAAAGATGAAATAGATCTATATTTATTGATATGAAAAGATGTTTTATATATACTATTGAAATGTTAAAAAACAAAACAAAACAGTGCCCCATCTCTCTCTTAGGGACCCTGATATTTTCGGTCCTCAGTCCCCCTGGGGCTAATGTTCTTTGCCTTTCCTCACCCAGATGTCTCCCCAGAACAATGTTAGGCAGGGAATCTGTGTAGAGAGGACAGACAACACAGTCTGGCTTCTGGAACTGTTCTGAATACAAATATTTTGACCTTCTGTCCCTATATGGTCAGGACACTCCTCATTTTAATATCTACTTCATAGTTGTGGAAACTGAGGCTCACTAAATTAAAAGATTTGCCTCAGGTCTGCACAGGAGGTTCCTCTTCTGGGTCTGCTAAAGGCAAGGAGGCCTGCTATGTGCTCTCTCAAAATGTGCTAGAGGGTTGCCAGGAGCAGAGGATTAGAGGGTGTGGAAGTGTGAGCTGGAGAAGGAGAGGAGGTGGAGGAGGGGTGAAGGTCAGGTTTTAGGGATGGGGAGAAGCACAGAGAAGGTAAGGCAGGATGTCACCCAAGATTCTCAGCCCCTCCCATTCTCTTGCTTCTGCAGACACACCTCCTCAATAGTGCCTGTCACAAAGTGGGGCTTCAACAAATGCTGAATGAATGAATAAACAAATGAACAAATATAAGGGAAGACAAAGAGTTTATTGTATTGGGAGGAGTCCAAAGTCAAGAACCAAACCTTTTTCAAACCTTGGTGGCCCCAGTTCTCCTAAGTCTCCCCATATTCACCAAACACGTAAGGCCCTTCAAGTCTTCCCAAGTCTGCAGAGCCATGGGATGGGAGGGTATTCTGCACTCAATCCATAGGAATGGGGCTCAAGAGTCATTGCCATACTGAGCTATGCTCAGCTACACACAGGTCCACAGTCCTCAATGTCTGCAATTCCCTGGTGAGGTCTTGTATGCAGGCCCCCTTGACTCAGAGAGGAGCCCTGGGCCCAGGCTTTGCAGGCAGTGAAGAACTTGGTGGTGTCATCTGGGCAGTGAGGGTGTCTGGACCTCTAGGTATGGCAGGACCAAGACTGAGGTGTCACCAGCTCCCAGAAGGTTGTCTGTACCAGAGAAGGGTAAATACGAATGAGTTCATTCCTGGTTATCCACCCTGTGCATCCAAGACATGGGAGCTCATCACCCCAAAGCCAGGCCCCAGCCCTTAACCATGGCTGTCAAATTGGGGAATAATAGGGGTTGACTGTTGGGAAGGGGAGGTGTGTCCTCCTGGACGGGGAGCTGGGTGAGGGCTGTGATTTCTTACCTGGGGTAGGGGGCAGTGCCTCTGCACATACCACTCCTGGAAGTAGAGGCTGACCTGGATGCCCTGGCCCAGAAAGAGCAAGGTCTACATCAGCACATTCCATGCTGGGCCTGTGTGCCAGTCATGCATCGTGAAGGTCAGCAGCCCTGGTGCAGAAGGAAATGTTGGCACCCCAGCTCCAGAAAACCTGTGCCTGTCTCCCTGGCTGCCCTCCCATCCCAAGTTACTGGGAAGAGATGGAATAGGAAGGCCCCATTGGGGAGGTCTTGAACTTTGCTGCAGAAACTTGTGGAGGTCTCATTTGGCTTTTGTAAAACCAGGATTCCTTGGTTTACACTTCAATATCCTGGATCTCCTACTGAACCTCCCAACCTCATCCCAGTTTTCTCCCTTGTCTCCCTCTGTGATTGCCCTACTCAAATGCTCTTCTTCAACCAGAAACCTTCTCCCACATCTCCCAGGATACCCCAAAGTTGCCTCCCTCTCTGCTCCAAAGTCCCTCCCTACCCCACCTCTCAGGTCTAGCATCCTCCCTTAGATCCTGGGTTTGTGGCCTCCCTCATCAGTCTGGGATCTCCAAGAGCAGGACCTGAGCCTCCTCCCTCTGGATGTCTCCCTTACAGTGGCACAGAGACAGGGCTTACATCCAATGACAAGGAAGAGCATCAGCGTGATGGGGTAGAAGGAGCCCAGGACAAAGCAGAAGATGTACTCATAGGCCACTGCAGAGACCAGGAACACAGCCGGCATGGCTGCCCCTCAGGCCCGGCCACCAAAGAGCTGGCAGGGCGAGGGAAGGAGTGGTGAGTGAATCTCCCTGAGCTCCTACAGGAAGAGCCTCCTCCTTCAGGAAGCCAGGAGGGAGTGTGATGCAACAGAAAGAATATGGGATCTGGGGTCAGAAGGGCTGACACTGGTCTTATTTAAGAGCATTTTATTAGCCCATTGGGCCTTATGTGCAATTTTAAAATGGGGATATAATAATACTTCTCAGGGTTACTGTGCTGGTTAAATGATGTGAAAACCCTTGGTAACTGAAAATTGCTATATGCGTGTTCCTTACGAGGCTAAGAAGAGGAGAAATGCCCTGTGGAGGGGGGTGGAATTAAGGACAGAGAAGGAAGAAAGTTAGATCGTAAGGACTCTCCACCCACTGGTTTGAGTAGAATGGGGACAGATGAAACCAAAAGGGCCCTTAGGTCTGGAGAAGGTGGGAAGCGCAGAGGGAGCGAGGGAGAGGACGTCCTGTAGAGCCTCTGTGAACTGTGGGAGCCGAAGGGTCTGCAGAGCCCGTACCCACAGTGCATCCTGATACACAGCTGTACAGCTAGTCATGGACCACCACGTTCCAAGTCCGGTAGTAGTTGGAGAAGGATCTTGAGTTCCACCAGTCCTGGGGAAAGAGTGGGGTCAGTGTTGGGGAGAGGAGGGGGGCACCCAAGGCTCCACCTTCTCCCTGCTGCTCCCTTTGCCTGCATCTCTGCCCCAATGTTCTCCCAGAAGGGCTGGCTTCTGGCAGAATAGAGACAGTAGGCACTCTCCCAGCTCCCTCTTCAGGACCTGAGGTTCCTCCTCTCCTACTTCCCCCTCAGAATAAGATTCTGTGGTACCATCCACAGCAAAGCAGGCTGGCCAGGAGGTAGAGGGGTGGCATTACAATCGCATTTCTCATTGTGGGAGGTCAACAGCATAGCTGAGGTGACACCCAACACAGCCACCATCTTCCTGAGATCCCTCTCTAACTCTCCCTGCCTCCAGCTCCCAACTGGCCCAGGTCCAAGCCCCACCAGGTAGAACAACCTCTCTCCAAATTGCAGCATCTTCATGAAGGCATTGAGCCAGCAGTGGAGGAAGGCAAAGATGAGAAGCAGCATGAAGATGACTGGTGGGGTTGACAAAGGGCTGGGTCAGGCTGTCCCACCTGAACCCTCCAGGCAGCCCTGGTCTGGGCTCTGTGGAGCCCCTGCCCAGCAACCAGAGCCCTACCTCTTAGCAATCATTTATTTATAATTCACAAATCCATGCATTCAACTATTTATCCATTTGCTCATGAACATTTACTTGGCATCTACTCTGTGCCAGATGTTGGTGATACAGAAATGAATCTCAAAGCCTCTAGCCACCGGGAGTTCCACAGACAGAGACGACCACATATCAAGGTCAAATGTAATGGGAGCTAAGCATAGTGGCCATCAATGTGCTTGAGAGTGCAGAGCCATAGGTGGGTCATGGTAATTGATGGCTAAAAAAGGAAGGCTTCCCAGAGGAGGGGGCATCTCAGCCAGGAGCCTCCAAGAAGGAACTGGATTCCATGGCTGGAAAATGGGGAAAGGGCATTCCAAGAAGAGGGGCCAACATGAGCAAAGGTCCAGAGGCATGAATTACATATCTTTCAGGAGACAACTAGGCTTGTGATGGGTGAGAAGATAGGCCAGGGCTGCCTGGGGGTGGGGCCTTGAATGCCAGAGCAAGGGTTCAAATCTTATCCGGCAGTGCCAGCAATGGGGAATCCCTGGAGTTTTCGAAGTAGGGTAGGGAGTGATTAATTTGTAGTAGGAAAGTTCACCTGGGCAGCAGTGTCAGGGGCAGATGAAAGGAAAGATTTGGATGGTACAGAGAGAGGTTAGGGGGTTGATGTGGAGAGGCGGAGCAGATGGCAATCTAAACTGAGACCGTAGCAACAAGCACTGATAGGAGGGGACAGATGTGAGGGGAGATTCAGAGGGTGAAGGAGTTGAAATCAATGGGAGGTGAATAGCAAGGCCTTCCCTGATAAGCCTTCCCCAGGCTTCAGCCTTCTTCAGCCCCACCTTGGTGAACTTACCTGGCAACGTGGCATGCAGGAATAGAGAGCACCAGGGCACGAGTGTTAAAGGGCTCCCAGGTCATCTTTGCCAAACAGGAACACAGAGTTGACCCAGGATGAAGCAAGTGTAGAGCACACAGCCCAGGGCCTGGAGAGGAAGTGGGGGACACACGACTTTGAGAAGGGGCACTGGCAGCTGCCTCCTCACTCTGGAATTATTGCTCTGGCCCAGCATCTGCCTTTTCTTCCCTTAGCAGCATTCTCTAACCTCCTCCCCAGGCTTCCTCCACCTCACTCCCAGGAATGCCCCCAAAGCCAACACGAGTCATAGGTGGTCCACACTTCTACCCCATCTTCTGACCTGGGCAAAGTTCTTTGATGTTGGGTGTCCTGCAGCAGCAATGGGGACAATATGATTCTTATCCTTTTATGCTTCTCCCTTGGTCAGGTTTGGGGGCCCTCTCTCTGTAGCTCCCTCAATTGCCCAGACCTGGGAAGATTATCTGGGGAGGTAGGGGTCTAGAACACTTTTGATTTTCTTTTTTTTTTTTTGTCTTTTTCCGTGTCCTGCAACGGATCGCAACCCTCAGTGTTGCCCCCGTACCGGACCGGGGACCGGCAAGGGATTGCAACCCTCGGCGTTGCTCCCGCGCCTCGCTCAGCCAGTGAGCGGGAACCGGTCTGTATGTGGGATCCGAACCCTCGGGTGGGAGCGCCGCTGCGCTTCCCAAGCGGCGCACTATCCATTGCGCCACCGGGCCGGCCCACACTTTTGATTTTCTGCAACAGAGATGGCAAATGGGTTTTTAGCTTGGGTATCAACCAAGGTGACCAACAATGTGGAGTTTCCCTGGATATGTAGGATGCTCGGTGCTAAAACCAGGACAGACCTGCCTCCTTAGCACAGTAGGCAGCATGTCAGCCTCATAATCGAAAACCAGGACAGTTGGTCACCCTAGTGTCATCATGGGCTGGGCAAGGAGTAGGGGTAGTTTACCTGCCACTTATTTCCCATCTTTATTATGGGATGCTTCCTGAGAAAGTGGCCAGAGCCTGGGGTGAGACAAGGACCTCAAGGAGAAGAGAGCAGAAGGGCAAGGTCCCTGGGCATTTGGGGCAGGGAGGGCAGGGTCTTACCTAAGGTAAGTCTCCCTGTAGATGAGTGTGGGGCAGAAGAAGAAGTAGAGGTAGCTGGAGAAACTGGGGGCCAGGATCCACTCACCTGGGGAGCAATGAGAGTGGTGGGTCAGTGGCGGGGAGAGGCAGAGAGCAGAGGTGAGTGGGCTTCTGGGGAAGGGGGTTGGATTGGTGAGTGGAGAGATGGATAGGACAGAGGTGGAGGGGACAGGTGATGGGCTGGATACAGGGTCTAAAAGCAGGGTTGGGGAAGTAAATTGGACAGGAGCTGAACCTGCTCTTTAACACCTCTTTTCTGCTTTCATTCCAGGCACCCAATTTTCCAGTGCAGGACCTGCTGTGGCTAGAGCTTCATTTGGCACTCATAAGTTCCAGGATATATTCTCCTTTCCCTTCTAACCTGACTTCCTAATATAAGGTTCCTAATAGAATGACTCTGGGTCATCACCCATGGAAAGTGCCAGAAGTCCCGGGTAACAGAGGTGCCATCTCTCAGAGTCGGGACCTAAGAATGCTTAATGATGATGGCCCACAGAGGCCAGAGCTATGCCTAGTGAGCAAGATGGGCTTAGGAAGTGTATATTTACATATACACACACATTGGATTTGTCCATGGTTTCTGGCTCCCCAGTGTGGGACTCTAATCTTCCCCTGCCTTTCTGTTTTGGAGCTGGCCATAAAGAAATTCTCTAAGCTGTCCAGTTAGCTCACTCGGTGTTATAACACCAAGGTCAAGAGTTCGGATCCCGATACTGGCCAGCTGCCAAAAAAAGGAAAGACTTGTAGGTGATAAGTCTCCCATTCCTGAGAGGGCCCTGCCTCATGCTTGGGAGGAAGGAATGATGCACAGAGGCCAAGAAGAATCTGAACACACAGGCCTTGCTGGGTTTCCCCACCCAGTCTGTTAGCATTAGGTCACACCCTTTTTGTCCAGTCACATCTCTACACGGTTGTCCATGCTTCAATCATGCCTATGTATGAAGCTCCCTTAAAAACCCCAAAGGACAGGGTTTCGAGAGCTTCTGGACTGCTGAACACGTGGAGGTTTCTGGAGGGTGGTGTGACCAGGGAGGGCGTGGAAGCTCTGCATCCATTCCCATACCTCACCCTACGTATCTCATCATCTGTATCTTTTGTAATATCCTTTGTAATAAACTGGCAGACATAAGTCAGTGTTTCCCCTAGTTCTGTGAGCTGCTCTAGCAAATTAATTGAACCTAAGGAGGGGGTCATGGGAACCCAGATTTATAGCTGGTTGGTCAGAAGCACAGGTAAAACAACCTGGGGCTTGTGATTGGCATCGGAAGGGGGGGCAGTCTTGGGGACTGAGTCCTCAACCTGTGGGATCTGACACTATCTCCGGGTAGCTTGTGTAAGAATTAAAGTGGAGGACACCCAGCTGGTGCTGCAGAATTGCTTGCTTGCTTGTTGGTGTAGGGTGAAATCGCCACACATCTGATGCCAGAAACAGATGTGTTTTTTCCACTCTAGAAGGCAGGGCCTTTATGAGAATCCTGCAACTGCTGGCTTCATTCAACCAGCCAAGAGGACTGAGTTTACAACAGGACCAGTTGAAGGCGCACCTCCTCTGGCACGAAGGGTCCCAGGCACAGCCTCTCTCAGGAAGGAGTAGCTTTTCATCAGGAGCCTGACCCGTGGTGGAGTGGAAGGGAGGTTAAGTTGCCGTGAGACTTTGAACAATCACTTAACCTGTCTGTGCTCTCCTTTACCGCAGAAAGGCAGGCAGATTGTAAGACCTGTCTGGTTGGAATCCACACTTTGCTTTTTGTCGAGTTGCCTTATAGCCCAATACAGACGGCTGCTGGGATAAAGGGTAAAGGGCGAGAGGCCAGGGCGGAGCCTTCCTCCTGCCAACCCTCTGAGACTCTGCGGAGTCAGATTATGTGTGCGTAGCAGCCCCTTTGGTTTACTTTTCCTACGGACGTGCTGGTTCCCTCAAATCCCTCGTAACGGACTCCGCCCCCAGCAACTAGCTCCGCCCCTACCAATACTGTGTCCAGAGCCCTCCGTCACCGGGCCCGCCCTCTGCGGAGATGCCCCTACCGCCCCCGCCTGTCGGGCAGCGGGGTTCGCCCCTCACCTGCTCAAAGACTAGGACGCAGCGGGGGGCCGGCGGGAGCTGATGCTCCAGGGCCACGTAGACCGGGAGGGGCGCAGAGCACCGCGCCGTGGGCGGCCAGCAGTGCGTAACCCAGGCCGGCCCCCAGCGTCCAGGCGCCCCCGGCCCGGGGCCCCGCCCACAGCCATAGGGTCTGGTAGTGCGCCAGCAGAGTGGAAGGGAACTTGGGGACTCACGTCACCAGCGCCAAGGGCAACTGTCCGAAGCTGAAGATCAGTAGGTCAAACTCCAGCACCAGCCTTGGAGTGGGGGAGGGAGAGACAAGGTAGACCGAAGTATAGACCATTCATTCCTGTCCCCTTCCTCTTCAGTCAGAGCTCTTGGAAGGTAAATTGCGGTATCTTGATATGCTTGGGAGCTCCCCATCCCTGAGGATGTTCCAGATGGCGCCTCTGCTGCCCAGGTCTTCCAGCACAGGGCGTTGCCGAGAAGACTCAATCATGGAGTGGATTTGATTCTAAGAGACCTTTAGAGCCCTCCGTGAATTGTATGGTGTTGCAGAAGGGCTCAGTACTCTATATCAGAAGTGTTAGGATACGAGGCATTTAGGGCTGGGTGGTTAGAGCACAACCTTGTAATAATACCAAGGTCAGGAGCTCAGATCACTGAACCGCCCCCGCTCCCCCCAAAAAAGGATATGAGGTATTTAGAGTTTAATTTTGATTTTCATTAGTTTTGTGCCTTTGGAGAGTCTGTAGTTTGCAGGTAGTTTGGTGTTTTGTTTGCGTAGGTTAAGAGTGTGTGGTTTGTAAAGGCGAGAAATTGGAAACAACCTGAATGTCCATTAATAAAGGACTAAATGAACAAAACCTGGTAGTTTTTACAGTCATTAATATCAATGGGCTGACACGGAAAGATCCCTAAAATCGATTGTTGGGGAGTAAGAACAATTGCAAAATAATAGGTACAGTATCTTATTTATGTAAAATCCCACAACATGCATCTCTTTCATACATGTGGATATGAATGCATAGAAAAGACTCTGGAAGGAAACTCAAAACTGTTAAAAATGGTTACCTCCAGCAGCAGTCTAGGATTGAGGGAGATGGTTAAGAAGGACTTGTCACTTTACAGTAAAAAGCGAATTTAAACTTTTTGCTGAGATTTTATCCTTATAATACTTGTATAATTAACAAAAATTTTACCAAAAGCAAGTGCTATTGCTGAACCTGCAGATCCTTCGTCCTCTTCCTTTTACTGCTTCCTAAGCCTGCCTTAGGGTGAGGCAGGGGGACGTGAAAATACAGACCCCCAAAGGGTACACAGCCCTCTGAAGCTCATCCGGGGGTGGGGTGGGGGTGGGG